TTTCACCAATTTTATTGCCACTTTTGAAATATTGAAGAAAAGATATATCATTAAATAGTTAATTAGGAGGAAAAAATTATTAAAAAATATGAAATATTAAGATTAGTTAATTAAAAATAAAGGCAAAAGTTGAAAATAAAATGATGAATTTTTAAATTAACTAGGAAAAAACAAAAAGCAAGCACGATAAAAAGAAAAAGAAAAAAGAGCTTTATTGTTTTTAATAAGTTTTTATAATTAAAAATATCACAATCCAAAACAAATAAACTGTTTTTACTGAAGTTAAAGTGTCAAATTTGAGAGATTAATGCATTTTGCTAAAGCAGAACCTAAGCCTGATGCATCTTCATTACCAATATAATTTTAACTTTTGAAATATTGAAGAAAAGATATATCATTAAATAGTTAATTAGAAGGAAAAAATTATTAAAAAATAATTAGTTAATTAAAAATAAAAGCAAAAGTTGAAAATAAAATGATGAATTTTTAATTTAACTAAGAAAAAACAAAAAAAAAGCAAGCACGATAAAAAGAAAAAGAAAAAAGAGCTTTATTGATTTTAATTAATTTTTATAATTAAAAATATCACAATCCAAAACAAATAAACTGTTTTTACCCAAGTTCAAGTATCAAATTTGAGAGATTAATGCATTTTGCTAAAGCAGAACCTAATCCTGATGCACCCATTTTACCAATTTAATTTTGACTTTTTAAATATTGAAGAAAAGATATATCATTAAATAGTTAATTAGAATGAAAAAATTATTAAAAAATATGAAATATTAAGATCAGTTAATTAAAAATAAAAGCAAAAGTTGAAAATAAAATGATGAATTTTTAAATTAACTAAGAAAAAACAAAAAAAAAGCAAGCACGATAAAAATAAAAGAAAAAAGAGCTTTATTGTTTTTAATTAGTTTTATAATTAAAAATATCACAATCTAAAACAAATAAACTGTTTTTACCTAAGGTCAAGTGTCAAATTTGAGAGATTAATGCATTTTGCTAAAGCAGAACATAAGCCTGATGCACCTTCATCACCAATTTCATTGCTACTTTTGAAATATTGAAGAAAAGAAATATCATTAAATAGTTAATTAGGAGGAAAAAATTATTAAAAAATATGAAATATTAAGATTAGTTAATTAAAAATAAAAGCATAAGTTGAAAATAAAATGATGAATTTTTAAATTAACAAAGAAAAAACAAAAAAAAAGCAAGCACGATAAAAAGAAAAAGAAAAAAGAGCTTAATTGATTTTAATTAGTTTTATAATTAAAAATATCACAATCTAAAACAAATAAACTGTTTTTACCTAATATCAAGTGTCAAATTTGAGAGATTAATGCATTTTGCTAAAGCAGAACCTAAGCCTGATGCATCTTCATTACCAATATAATTTTAACTTTTGAAATATTGAAGAAAAGATATATCATTAAATATTTAATTAGAAGGAAAAAATTATTAAAAAATATGAAATATTAAGATTAGTTAATTAAAAATAATAAAATTAAAATTTTAAATATTTTTTATGAAACTTTTTCCATCCTAGGTTTTCAAAATTTATTTTATTCAAAAAAAATGATATTTTATGCTTTCTAAAAATTAGCTTTATTTATAATGTTATTTAGAATGAAATTAAATAGGTACTTCACTATAGTTAATTAGAAGGAAAAAATGAAGAAAAAATATGAAATATTAAGATTAATTAATAAAATTAACAAAGAATGAAAAAATAAGAAATCATAATAAAAAGAAAAAGGAAAACAAATCAAATAAATTAAAAGAACTTTAATGTTTTAAATTAACTTTTATAATTAAAAATATTACAATGTAAATAAATAGCTTTTATTAATTGTAAGTTTTAATAGCAAAAATGAAGAAAAAATATCAAATAATAAAATAATAAAAAATGAATAATAAATAAATAATTAAAAATTGAAATGAAAATTAAGTTAAAATAACTAAAAAATTATAGTTTTAATAAAAATCAATAAATAAATAATGATGATGATAATTTCTTTTATAAAAATTATTTATTTAAAAAAATTGAAAATTAAATATACAAAAAATATAAATAATAAAAATAATATTTTTTAATTAAATATACCACAAATCAATATGGAGAACCTAATGAGATAAAAGTGAAGAGCTTAAAAACTTTTTTTATTAATTTATATAAATTTAAAAGATATTAATAAAAAAATTAATAATTACTTTTTTCAAATTATAATATTTTTTAATCTATTATATCATTTATTTTTCTTTTCAAAGATATTGAATAGCAACTTATGAAATTTGATTAATTAATTAATTATAAATAGATAAAAAGAACAAATAAAAAAAAATTAATTAATTATCAAATAATTTATAAATTTGGTTTTATGAAGAGATAGATATCACAGAAAAATTAATTTAACATTCACTTTTTAAACTTAATATTTTTATTTAAAGCATATACTTAAAAATAAATATAGCAGGAATTAGAGACCGCCGATTATTTATTTAGTCATATTTGAAAAAAACCTAGTAGTTAATGTTCTAAAATATTATAAAAATAATGTTTATAAGTAGATTTTTATGTTTGTTTTATCTCTGTAATTTTAGGAATATTTATAATATCTCTAATTATAGCATGATGCCATACAAAAATTTCATGGTTTGCCTGCCACCTATTTTGAAATATATTTTTTATTTATATATTTATTTATTTATTTATTAAAAAATCTAATTTATTTAAATTATAATACAATTATAATTAAATAAAAATTTTAAATTAAAAATTTTTGATAAAAAAACAATTAAAATTTTCCAATTCACAAATCATCTTAAATAAAAAATTTAAAAAATAGATACAAAAACAAACAACTAGATAGATGACAAATTAAGATAAATAGATAAATATTTTTATTCAATTTTAATTATTTTTAGGAACAATTTGAAGCTGGTTCATCTCAATAAATTTTTATCCGTAGTATTATTGAGAACTGTTTTGCTCACTTTGTTCTTGATTCTTTTAATCTACATTAAATTTTAACTTTTATTAGTTAACCTTTATCTAATTTGTGGCAAATAAGTTGAAAATTTATTCAATAGAAGCTTGCTTGACTGAATAATTTTCTACAAGCAAATTGTTTTTGTTGTTTTCAAAAAGTTCAAACATTTTACCAATAGATATGTCTGATAAAATTCTAAATCTGTAGAAATCATCAAAATGTTCGATTATATTATATTCGCCCACTTTATTTTATATGAAAGACTTTAAGTTTTCTCCATTCTATTCTAATACAATATATTAAGCTAGTGAAAGGAGACTTACTCCAACATCGGAATTCAATCTAGCATATAGTTATTTGCCATTGCCTTAAGCATTTATTTATTCATTAAGATTAGATGCATTCATTTATTGTAAATATGATTCAAGTTAATCATAGTGAATCTATTCTTTTACATTATCTTCTGTTATACCATATAAACTTAATTTTTGAATCAATTCTTGTTCTGTAGGGATTTTTAGTTTGATTTCTACTTCATAACCTTCACCAAATTTATCCTTTATTTGTTAAATGCTTCCAATACACCTCAATATACCTTCTACTTAAATAGCAACTCTTGTTGAGAGAGCTTCGGCTTCTTCCATAGAATGAGTCGTTAAAATTACACTTGAACTTTTACGTTTGGTAGAAATTCTTGAAATTACATCCCACATGAAACGTCTAGCAGCAGGATCCATTCCTGTGGAGGGTTCATCAAGAAAAACAATAGGAGGATTACCTAACATTGCTATAGCTACACTTAGCTTACGTTTATTACCTCCACTATAGGTTCCAGCTAGTTTATGTTCGAAATCAGTCAAATCCATTTCTTTAATTTTTTTGGCAACTAACTTTTCTCTCATTTCAATAGGAATTCCTTTGATTAATGCATACATTTCGAGATGTTCTCTAGCTGTTAAATTATCACACAATGCATCGAATTGTGGGCAATAACCAATGTAATTACGAGCTTGATTGATTTGAGTTTTCAAATCGAATCCCATGATGTGGCATTCTCCAGAAGTTTGCTAAATTTCACCTGACAATATTTTAAATGTTGTAGTCTTTCCAGCACCATTCACTCCCAAAAGGGTGAAGCATTCTCCATTACCGATGCCGAAAGAGACTTAATCGACAGCAACTTTTATTCTATCTTTAGAAGGAATAAAAACTTTTCTAAGCTTATTGACTCTAACTGTATAGTCTGAAGGATTGGTTTCTGCGATGAGATCAATTTCTTTTTAGACATCTTCATCATATTCTTTAGGTTAGTATTCAACTGATTTTTCCTTTGAAAACATGTTATTTAGGAAGGATATTTAAGAGTGGTTTTCTACCAAAAACACCAACAAATAGTAAATAAATCCTTCAAGAATCATAAAAATAATATCAGCTCCAGCAATATCAATTGAAAATGGTGAGTCAAGTTATTGATAATTATTTTAAAAGGCGTAGAGATTTCTATTACCTATGTTCATGATTCCATAACCAAAGCTGAATGAAGGAATGATTCTAAATATCCATCCAATAGCTATTGCAGCACTCTCAGTAGAATCAATAATACGGAGAATGAAAATAACCATAGGCATTATACCACCAAATAAGAAGTTAATGAAGAAAGAGGAAACTTACGCATTACCGTAATCTCCAAAAATGAAGCTTGTAAAATAAGAGAATGGGATAACAGACCATCCATAGAGAAAAACCATTAAAGATATAGCTGCTAAACAAGAACTCTCAGTGAATGATGAAATATCGTAAGCAAGAATCATCAAAATAGAAAAGACAGCAGGAATGATGTATTTTATGAAGTCAACCAAATAATTACTGAACCAATAAGTGTATAAGCTAACTCCACTTACTAATTGCTGATGTTTAATCTTTTCTGTACGTTCTTTAACTATAAAAGATATCAATGAAGCAGGGATGAAAGAAAAAGCAATAGCATAAATAAAACTAGTAACAAGACCTTATGCACTGCCAGATAAGTCCTTTTAAGTTTGTGTTAATGGTAAAGGATGGTTAGTTACTTAAATTGTGATTTAATGTTTTCCTAATTACTTAAGCCAATAATTGATGTAAGCTTCATTCATTTAGTTTATATATAAAGGAGCAGCATCTCTATATATGGTATTTATTTCTGTTGTGTATTTGAAAGTGTTAGAAATATTTATTTCTTCAATATAGTAAGAACCTGTAGAATCGTAATTTTTGGAGTGAAAGGCATAGTCTTCCCATTCATCAACTGATTATTGATTTGCTGTCCAAAAATCATATAAATTTGCTTAACTGAAAGAACCCAATAAATTTTATATATGAGGAGCGGATAGACCTTAAGCATTACCTACAACTACATTCAATGGGTTTGGGAAATTTTTTGGATCTATTATTACCCCATTTTATTCTGTGATGGAGGAAATTAAAGTTAAACTTAATCCAACAACAACAATCAAACAAGGTAAAATAACTTCACACAAGAGGGATCTAATATCTCTTTTAAATGAAATTGCTCTCTTTGTTGTAAGTGCTCTCATGTGATAGCAAAATTTGTCATAAGTTTTTGTGATTCTAACTTAATTCAAATCGAAATTGTCAATTTCATCTGCATTTTTTTCGTCTTCTGATATTTTATTCTATTAATTTTTTTAGCTTTCAATATCGCTATTACCGTCTTAAGATTTATCAACATTTAAGTAAATATTTTTGCTATTGCTCTTATCTTTTTCTTGCTCATTTAGCTTTTCCTTCTTCTTTTATTCTTTTATTTTTTTCTCTTTCAAATGAGCAACTTTCAAGAAGACTTCTTCTAAGGTAGTGATGGAAATACCATATGTTTGGATGCTTAACTTTTGCAAAGAGTTATCAAGTTCTAAAAAGAGTGGAGGGAAGTTAGAAGCCTCTTCGTTTCTAAGTTACAAAACAACTTCAGCTGATACATCTGACAAAACTTCTGCAGTTTTTATGTGTTTTTTAACGAAATCAATAATGGGTTATGAGTTATCTGTTGGGTACTTCTTCACTATTGTTAAATTATAACCAGTTCCAAATTTATTCTTTAAGAAGAGAGGTTTTCCTAAACAAACAAGCTATCCATCTGCCATAATACCAATTCTATCTCCAAGGTAGTCAGCTTCATCCATGAAATGTGTTGTTAAACAAATAACTCTGTCATTCTTATATCTTTTGAGCATATCCCAAATATGTCTACGAGCAGATGTATCCATACCACTAGTTGGTTCATCTAGATATACTAATTTGCTACCTCCAATAAAAGCAATTGCAACACTGAGTCTTCTTCTTTACCCTCCAGAAAGGTTCTTAGCAAGCTCATTAGTCTTTTCTTACAAATCGACATCCTCAATGTGTTTTTACACTTGTTTTTTGATCTCTTCAGAATCAGTCATGCCTTTAAAAGTAGCAAAAAGTTCTAAATGCTCATAAACAGACAAGTCATCAAATAAAATATCATACTGAGGACAAACGCCCATGAAAGTACGAATTTCTTCCATTTCAGTCTCAACATCTCTACCTAAAGCATTAGCAGCGCCATCTGTCATTTCATACATGCCAGTAAGCATAGAAATAGTTGAAGTTTTACCAGCACCGTTATGGCCTAACAGAGCAAATATTTATCCGTTGTACATTGAAAAGCTTAATCCATTCACTGCGCTCTTACCAGATGGATAAATCTTTCTTAAATTTGTTATCTTTACAGTTTGATTCAACTCTTCTTGGTCTTTTAGATTTTAAGGAACTTCTTCAAAATTATCATTGAAATCAAATGCTTATTCGCCTTCTGCCTTTTCTAAGAGTTTCCTTTTTTTCTCTTTTGGACTAAGTTTCTTTTCCCAAATCCAGCTGATAAAGAAGAGAGGATGACGTTTTTTTCCAAAATCATTGGGAAACACCTGATCAAAGTATAAACCAAGAATGATAAATATAAAAATATTTATTAAATTCATATAAATGTTAATAAAAACTGAATAATTATCGATTTCTTCAGTCAAATTAGACCATTGAATTCCCTTTTTTGAACTTTCAGAAATAAGAAAGACATCACAAGCCAAAGAAGTACCAGCTTAAGGTAAGAATGAAACACCAATTTTATCATTTTTTGAAGGATTATCATAGTTACTAAGAATAATTATTGCCATATATTAAAATAAGAAGAAAACCATAGCAAAAATATTTCCAACTTGTGCTTTGGTGAAAAAAGTAGTGATAAAGATACTTTAGAAAATCAAAGAGATTCCAAATATCAAATGCCATACAAAAATGACACTCCAATCTGATGAAACATAAATAGACCCTTTTAGAGCACTGGAAACAAGAATGCTACACAAAAAGTAGATGATGAAATAATAGATAATCCATGAAGCATAGAAACTAGAATTACTCATTCCCATTACTTTCATACCTTCTCTAATTTTCTTTTCTTTCTCAATAAGAAGTCCATATGTCATTCTGAGATAAATTAAAATCATAGGTAAGACAATAAAAACTCCCATATTGCCTTTTAAATTATCTACTAAAGAGTTTTTATAATGATCCTAAACGAGCATAGATGTAATACTGCTCTATATTTCTAGATTACTGTTTTCAGTGGTGTACTGTAAAATTATATTATCTATTTTAATTTTTTTAAAAATTAATTTTAAACCTTTTTTGTTTGATGTTTTATTTAATTTATAAAATTTTATTATTAGGAATTGTTGTATTTTTTTTATCATTTGCTATTATCTATTTAAATTAATCTTTTTTTAATCAAATTCACTTATTAATATTTATCGAAATTTAATTTTAGCTTTCCTTATTATCTTAAATTAAAAATATTCAAATATTCATCAAATCAATCAATGAAATTTGTTTATTTTTTTCTTCAAAAGAATTTAAACTTTTATTTTTAACAAGAAAAGGAAAGCTTTATTGATATTAAATATATCATTATGTATGCTAATGAAAATGTAAGCTATGTTTGCTTTTAATGGATATTCATTTGATTAAGATGAAGTATTAGGTATGTTAATTTCTTTAATAAAATAAATTAATTCATTTCTAAATATTTATTTTTTAATAAGTAGTAAGATGAATAAGAAATTAAATATTCTTACCTATCCAATTTTGAATTGTAAGAAATCCACTATTAACCCAGGTATCAAGATTATTTTTTTTGTTTTCATATAGATAATTAACTACTTCTGGTCTTATGGTTTATGGCACTTCAGAATCAGTGACAGATGAAGCATTGAATAAAAGACGATATTTAAAGATGTTATTGTAGTATTAGTCTATTGAGATACCAAAGCATATATCGTTATTGTAGTCACTAGAGGAAGCATAAGAAATGAGGTCATCAACTGATTAATATCTTTTGGTTTAGTAGTTATAATTTTATTAGAATATATTTTCCAAAGGTAACAAAAAATCATCAGGACCAACTGTAGCAACATGACCGTTTCTATAAGAAGGATATTAAGATGAGCGACCAGTGAGGCAATCTTTCATATGAGGAGGAATAGGAAAGTTTGTTTTAGGATTAATTCCAATATTTTAATAGTTTGGAGGTAAAATAGTTTTCTATTTTAAAAAAATATATTTAAAATTAATTGTAATGAATTGTATAATAAATTAATTACTTCAGGATAAAATGATTTTTTAGGAATAAACTCATCATCCACTTAACTTTTTAGGATAAAGAAAGTTGCAACCAAGAAAAATGGTAGAAGTATTTCGAAAATAGAACAACAAATATTCCTTTTCCAAAGAATAAAGTTTTTCTTCATTAAAGCTTTTAGATGCGTAGAAAATCCCATATTAATGTAATTTTATTACAATTTATTTTTGTTTCTTTTATTTTTTTTTGAATTAAAAAATTATATCAAAATCAATGGTTTTTCTATTTTGATATTTAAAGAAATGCTTTAATAATTCAATTATAGTTAGTTAGATATGTATTATTATGCATCTATTACATTTAGCTTTCATAATGTTTCTTATTAATTAATTAAATAAGTTTTTTTGTTCAATTTCAAACTGTCTACTTTAATTAATTAATTTCTTCTTTTAATTGAAATTCAATGAGGAATTAATTTACTAATAAACAATCAATTTTTTACCTAAATATTATATTTTGAACTTTCCAAGGAAATCTTCTCAATTTTCAATTATCTACTCTAATTAATGCTTTTTTGATATTATATTTAACACCAAAATTTTATCTTTAAAACAGTAAATCAAAATTGCGTAGAATCATTAGAATACTAAAAAAAGAATTTTCTCATAATTTATCAGCAAGAATAAAAATATTTACTAAAAATAAATATATCTATGCTTAAATATATATCTAATTTTAAATTTAATTACTTTTATATTAAAATGCAATCATTAGCCAAAACATTTATTTTGATTATTTTTAGCTCTATAGATATATTTATAAAATTTAAAAATGGCTTATTTGCGTAAATTCTTAGTTTGAACATATCTTCTAAAAATGATTTTAAATATTAATTGATTTATTTTTAAAATAAATTAGAAATATATTAATTTTTGCTATTTATTTTTTAAGTAGAAAATTCTAAGTAAATAAATTTATTGTTTTGTTAATTTAACTAATGCGTAAAAAATATTTCGGAAATGGATTTAAAATAGATATAATTAATTCATCCAAATTTAAAAATGGTTTGTTATCTATTGTTATGAGTTGATTTTTATAAATAAGAAATATATTTTTAGATAGACAATACTTTTATCAAGAAGTAAATTTATAGAAAATAAATTTATCTTTTTATTGATTTAACTAACTAATAAATCAAATAAAATTTCAAAAATGGATATAAAATTTTTTTGAAATAGATATAATTAATTTGCTTATCTTTAATTTATATACTATTTTTTAAAATAAGTTTTGGCTTCAATTAATTCTTACAAATTTTAAAACATACTTCAAAATGAGTTTTTGTCTATTTTTACTTTTTGTAATTAATTTACTTTTTTTCAATTTTATTTGTTCTAAAATTAGCTAGCTATTTTGCTTGCAAAATATTGCTTTCCTTTTCAAACAAAAAATAAAAATAGACTGATTTAATTAGTTAAAACGCACTTTTAAATAAATTAATAAATTTAGTTGTTATTTCTATTGTCTATTGTTCTTCTATTAATTAGCTTTTCATTAATAATTTATAAATTTTATTTTGAATTTCAATATTTTATTAAATAATTATAAAAATAATAATTAATAGTTAAAAGTTGTTAATGAATTGAGCATTTAAATGAAAAAGAACACTTAAATGATATTTTATAATTTTTTATGAAAAACATGTAAAATTATAATCAATAGTTTTACTCTTTAATTCCATTGAATAGGGGGGAGGGGTATTTAAAAAAAACATGAAAAATTGTAAAATGGAATACAGAAAGATTAAAAATTTTTTTAATTTATTAAATTTTTAAGAAATACAATTTACTTTTTATTAGTATTATTTTTTTTAAATGTTCATTTTAAATGTTAAAAAAAAAATATTTAAAATTAAATTGTTTCATTTTAATAGTAAATATATTTTATTTCTAATTGTTTATTAATAATTTAATGGAAATATTTATTATTTTTAATTACAAATAATAATTTCTATTACTTCTCCTAATTATTTTGTTTTTAGTTATAACTAAATTCATAAATATATTTATCTTTTTTTTCATCTTATAATTTTTAAAATAAATAAATTTTGAAAAAAATTTACACTGAAAACTTTGATAAAAAAAAGAAAATGATATAAAAAAATGAATATTTTAATAATCTCTTATACGTAGTTATTTTTAAAAAGCATTTTATATGATTAAATAATTTTTTAATTCGAAAGTTGATAAACTCTGAACCATAACTGCATACGAGCCTTGAAATCAATTTGAGGTAAGAATAATTAATTTTATGATTGTATTTATTTACAATTACACAACAATTTGTAAAATATAATTTAAAGAAAAGAAATTAAATAAGAAATCATATAAAATTTTAGCATAAGTTATTAATTTTTAGCTGCTTTTGTTTATTATTTAAATTTTATAAACATTTTAAGCTCTTTTTCCTTAAATAAATTCTATTATATATACTTTTTAATAAAAAAATCAAATTTATTACATAAAATTAAAGTAGTGTTCAAATTGGAGATTTAGATGTTTCAAAGTTAAGTTCTTCTTTAGCAAATTGCACTAATATCTCTACATTGATACTTAACCTCAAGTGATAATTTTTAATAATCTTAATTTAAATTTTTATTTATTTGTTTCTATTATTAATTTAGGACATTTTTCAAAATAATTTTTGAAATATTAAATTTATTCTTATTTGCTTTTTTTTCATTTTTTTTACAAAGTTTTTAAGATTTAAAGTTAATTTTAATTTAAAATATAAAAAGTAATAAATAAATTGATTCAAATTTGCTTTCAGAGTTAGGATCAAGCTTAGCAAAGTGCACTAGTCTTAGAACTTTGCATCTTAAATTAGAGTAATACAATTATATGTGCTTGGTTTATATTTTATAATTAAACAAAATCTTTTTGTTTGGTGTCTAATTTTTAGATTAAAATTGGTCTTGTTTTAGTCTTAACAATTTATTAAACTTATTGATTGATACAAATAATTTTATAAAATTTTGAATATTGAGTTGTAAGTTTAATAGAAAAACATATCTTCATTTGCTTTGAATTTATTTACTGCAATTAAAATTATGTAAAAGATAAATTTTATAGGTGGAATATTTATTAATATTTTTACATATTTTAAAAATAACTCTTAAACCTACCTATTTTATAAATGATAATATTTTAGAAATTATAGTATGTATCTTCAACTAAATTTTTATTTGATTTTCAACAAACTGATACTTTTTTATATTGATTTCTAATAATAATTTTCATTGAACTAAAATTTTTATTTTTATAATATTAAAAGAAATAATTAAATTAATGCTTTTGGGATAGAATGCTTATTTTCTGGTTTAGCTTAGTGCACTAATCTCTTATATTTAGATCTTAATTTGAAGTATAAATAATTGAATTAATTTATAAGTTATTATTAAATAAAATATAAATAATTTTCATCAAAACTTAAATATAAGTTAAAACCTAGATGCTAGCTGATTAAAACACATTTTTTATTTATACTACGAATTTAAGTTTACATTTTATTTAAAAATTATATTTAAAAATAACTAATAAATATCAATAAAATATAAAAGCAACAATCAAATCGATCTTTAGAGCATATAAAGCTTAGGATCTGGTTTAAAATAAATTACTAATCTCTAATTTTTATCACTTGGTCTCACGTAAAACCTTTTATTTTATATTTTAAGAAGCTTTTGAGGTTAATTTTAAATAGAGTTTTAATTTTTTTAAACCTTCAATTTATTTCTTTTAAGATTATCTTTAAATTTTATTTTATTTTTAAAAAACTTAACTGAAATAACAAATTAAATCTGTAAAATATAATAATAGCAATAATATTTTCGGTTCGTAGGGCACATAATTGCTATGTTAAGATTTAAAAAGTTGCACTTATATCTAAAACCTGGTTCTTAATTTTGGCTTAAATAATTTTAAAGACAAGTAAGTAAATAACTAACTAAATTTTAGATAATACTTTCTCCTTTAATTAACGAGCTAGCTTACAAAGTTATGTATAAAAAAAGTAATATTTAAATGTTTGCTATAGATGTATAAAGCATATTCTCTGATTCAATAATGTACACAAATCTCACAAGATTAACCTTAAACCTTTAGTAATACTATATTTTTAATTTATAGTTTGTATAATTTAATCAAAAAAAGAATAAATTTTTACATAAAACAAGAAGAGTTATTTTAAATTATTTATCATTTCTTTCTTAAATCAGCTCTTTTTTCTAACTTATTTTAAGACGAATTTATTTATTACTTTAAATATATAAAAAGAGGAAATTTAATTCATGATAAAGGGGCTTAAATCTTAGGTACTGTATTGTAAAAGTGCAATAAGATCGAATAATTGGATCTTAACCTTAGGTAAAAATATTTTTTTTTGTTTTAGAGTAAATTAAAATTTAGCATTCATCATTTATATTTACAAGCTAAAAGAAAAAAATCTTCATTTGAATTTTAAAATATTTATTATTTTTTATTTACTATGCTAATAAATAGCATTTACTGAGTTAGGCCTTTAATTTAATTAAAATTTTTTTAAATTAATGCATTTATTTTTTCAGTTATTTTATAATTTTAACAACTTTTTCTCATATTATTAAAAGTGAAAACACAATTGGCAAGCAAGGGGCTCAAGCTTTATTTTCTAGTTTTACATATTTTAATAATCTTTAAGATTTATCACTCGATATTCAGTAAATTACTTTGTTAAATTTTAATAAATATTTTACTAATTTACTTAAAATAATAAGCAAAATTAAAAAAAATATTTAGAACATTTAAAAATATTTTATAAAATGATTGTAATTAATTCATAATAAATTTAAAACTATATGCATATCCTAAAAATAAGCTATTCATTTTTATCTTCCTTATTGCTAAATGCCTTAAATTATCTAATAAATTATGTAAAAAATAAAAAGAAACAATAAAATTGGTAATAATGGCGCTAAATCATTAAGTTCTGCTTTAGAAAAATTATAGCATCTCTCAGCTTTGACCCTCAAGCTTTAGTAAATTTTTTTATAAATTAATTACACAAAGTTTTAAAGTAAACATACAAAATTTCTATTTAGATGAATTAATCGCTCTCTTTTTTTATCTGTTATTTTTTATTTATTTATTATTGAAATTTTGAATTTTATTTAAAAATTTTATCTAAATAAACTAAAAGGAGAAATTTAATGAGTGAAAAGGGTTTATCTAGCATATATTCTTCATTAACAAAATTCGAAGATCTCATAAGTTTATATATTGATTTGGAATATGATCCAATACATAAGAATGCGTAATAATTATTTAGCATTTTATGTTAATCTTTTAAGAGGTTTATTCAAAAAAAAAATAATAAAATATTTAATAAGCCATTACTTAGCTTAATTATTGTTTAAGCTGTAACATAAGATTTTACTCTTTTTTATTGATCTGAAATTCTAAAACAAATAATATTTGATATATTTTATTTGCTTATTTGTGCTGAAGTTTTTAATATTAAATTTAAAAATGATTTCATATCTCTTAAAAGGAATAATTAAATGAGTGACAATGGTGAAACAAATTTAGGTATCACTCTAAAAAAATAATGTAACAAACTTTAAAAGTTGACTCTTAATCTTAAGTAAAAAATTAATTTTATTTATATTTTAAATCTTTCTTTTGTTAAGCTAGCGAAAACTTAATAAGGAATTTTGAAAAATTTAAGAAATATTTTTCTTTATTTTTGTTTTACAATTTTAATTCCAAAATTCAGCTTCTTTTTTTAATCATTTGTTATAAAAATACAAAGGAGAAACTTAATTAAATACGAAGATTTATTAAACCTATATTCTGGTTTAGAAAACTGCACTCATCTTTAATCTTTGACACTCAATATTAGGTAATTAATTTAATATTTAGTTAATTTGTTATTAAATAAATTAACTTCTAATAATTATTTTATCTACTAATTATTTTTTATAACTTTATTATTTATTTTTTTGATTTTGTCTAAATTATTTTTAAAAAATAATATTTAAAAGTGAGAAGAATATTTTGAAAACAAAACTATCAGAAATACAATTCAGTCCTATTTTTAAAAAGTTAACTAATCTCTCAATACTGAATCTTGATCTTGATGTTGAGTATAAGAAATTCTTTAATACTTATGATAAGCATTCTAATTAGTTTATTTTGATATTTTTTTATCATTTTATTGATTTTTTTTAGCTATTTTTAGCTTTGTAATTTTAGTAGATTTGTTTAAATGAAAAACTAATTTTTACTAACTTTTTTACATAAATGATATAATTATTATGATAAATTAGTTATGGCACAATATTAGAAAATCTAATACCTTTGTCATACAATTAGCTCTAAACTTTCTCTCTAAACATTAGGTAAACTTTTTATTATATTTTAATTCTAATAAATAAAATATAGTTTAAATTCATAATAAAGTTTATTCTGCTAATTTAAATTTTTTGTAATATTTAAAATTTTAATAGGGCAAATTTTATGAAATTCGATAATGTGAAAATCTTTGTTTAAACTTTAGATTCTTGTCTTAATCTCACAAGTTTTGGCCTAGTAATTGCTAAAACTAATGATATGTAAAGCAATCTATTTAATATGATTTTTATCTTCTTAATAAAAATTATTTAATTTTATTAATATTTATTTAATTAAATATTATTTTTTATACAATTAAATTTTTTTCTTGTTTGCATATTATTAACATAAAATTTTATATTAAAGTGCAAAGGAATTGAAAAAAAGTGAAATCGCTTACATTAATTATAAAATCTGTAAATATTATAGACTTGTGAATAAAAAAATTGAGTTATGATAATTCAATTTTCATGTATTTATTTATTTATTTATCCATCCATACAAATTTATATTAGCAAAAAATATATTAATATTTTTGATAAAATATATAAAGCAGCCTTAATTGAACTTTTTATTTCAATAATAGTTGAAATTATTTAACCTTTTATAAATAAAGTATTAAATTTATATTATTTAATAAATTATAAATAGTTATTTTTAATAAATAAATAAATAAATAAATAAATAAATAAATAAATAAATAAATAGTCTTTTTAATAATTTATTCGGGGGGGGGGGGGGGGGGGGTCACAGCAGTAACCCATTCATTTTGAATGAAAAATTTCCATTCAAACAATCACAAAAGTAACAAAGTGAATAAAGAAAGTATCCATTAGCTACCCCACCAAAATAATTATTATATTAATATTATCTAGTTCAAACTCCATCCATTGTTAGCAAAATCTTTCAATATATTATTCTTATTATTGATTGAATAAGAAAATACTATTAACTTTCTGATATACTTTAGTATATTTAAGTATCTAAGATAGTTTAAGTATAAAGAATATATTGTAATTTTTATTTAATCTCTACTTATGTTATGAATACATCTAATTTATATCTATAATATAAAAGTTTACATTTAAACAATTTTAATAAGACAGAATCGATCTTTAAAAGGATTCATATTTTTTGGCGAAAACAGAGGGTTGAGGTTGATTATATTTATAAATGTAAAAATAATAATAAATATATTAACTTTAAATTTAGTTATCATTTTAAAAAATATGATAAAATAATAAATACATGCTATACTATATATATATTCTATTATTTAAGTATTTTTATATTTATTCATCCTATTTTCAACACTTTTTTATCATTAGAAATATCTTTCAAAGACAACTAATCTTTTTGATTTTAAACATTTACTTTCAACTTTCAATAACTATGATTCATTGATTTCGTTACCACTTTTATATAAATCAAAAAAAATTATATTTTAAATCAACAAACACAAAAAATATTAAAAGAAGAAAAATTAATCAAATAAAAATCAAATAAATGAATTAAAAGTACTATTTACATAGTTTTAAATTTTCTTTTTTTAAAAAAAATTTCACAATTAAAAATAAATAAATTAATATTTTTACATAAGATTAAGTACTAAATTTGAAAGGTTAGGACAATTTAGTAAAGCAGAACCTAAGCTTTATGCACCTATTGCACCAATTTCATTGTACCTTTTTAATATTAATAACTCCTAAGATAACTAAAAAAAAAATAAAGAAAAAATATATTAATAACTCCTAAGTTAGCAAGAAAAAAAAATAAAGAAAAAATATTAAATAATAAAAATTAAATAAGTTAAAATAAAAGTAAAAATATTTAAATATCAAATAATAAAAAATTAATTAAAAATGAGTTAAATTAACAAATAAAAAACACTTAGCATAATAAAAAAAAAGAAAAAGAAATAAAATAAAAAGCTTATAAATAAATTAATTAAAAGAGTTAGTAATATGTATTATTTTAAATTCATATTAATATTAAAATATATCACAATCCATGTAAATAAGCTATTTATTTTTACCCAAGATTAAGTGTCAAATTTGAAAGTTAATTGCAACTTTATATAGCTGAACCTAAAGCTGATGCACCAATTGTGCCAATATAATTTCTGCTTTTTAAATGTTGAAGAAAAAAAATAATGAGACAGTTAGTTAGTTAGTTAGTTAGTTAGTTAGTTAGTTAGTTAGTTAGTTAGTTAGTTAGTTAGTTAGTTAGTTAGAAAAAAAAATATATTATAAAAATAATAAAAAATTAATAAGTTAGTAACAAAAGTAAAAATTAAAAATAAATAAGTAATATATCATAATCCAAAACAAATAAATAAATAAACTAACTAACTATTTTTACAAAAGATTAAGTGTCAAATTTGAGAGATTAGTGCAGTTTTTTAAAGCAGAACCTAAACCTAATGCACCAATTGCACCTATTTGATTGTACCTGTTATATAATAGAAGAAAAATATTTAATTAATTTGTAAGTTTAAAGGAAAAAATTGGAAAAATTAAGAAATGATATTAAAATTAAAGTTAAAGTAGAAAATAAATGAAAAAATGAGTTAAGTTAACAAAGAAAGAAGAAAAAAAACACAAGCAGAATAAAAAAGAAAAAGAAAAATTAATTAAATTAAAAGATATTAAATAAATTAAAAGAGTATTTATATTGTTTTAAATTCATTATTATATTAAAAAATATCACAATCCAAAAAAATAATCTATTTTTACCCAAGACTAAATATCAAATTTGAGAGATTAGTGCAATTAACTAAAGCAGAGCCTAAGCCCTAAGCACCTTCATCGCCAATTTAATTTCCGCTTTTAAATGTCAAAGAAAAAAATATGAAATAATAAGAAATAAATAAATTAATAATAAAACCAAAATATCAAAATAAGCAAACAAACGAGTTAAATTAACAAAAAAATAAAGAAAATAAACACAATCATAATAAAAATAAATCAAATCAAAATCTAAGAAATAAATAAATAAATTAAAAGAGTTATGTTTTTTTTATTTATTTTTATTAAAATATAACAGTTTTACCCAACAATAAGTGTTAAATTTTATAGATTAGTGCAATTTGATAAAGTTCTACCTAAGTCTGATGCTCCAATATTACCAATTTAATTGAAGCTTTTTAAAATTAAGTAGTTGTTGGAAAAAATGAGTAAAAAATACGAAGTTAGTAATAAAAAATTAATTCATAAAAGCAAAACTTGTAAATGAAAAATGAGTTAAAGAAACAAAAAAACACAAGCCGAATAAAATAAAAATAAAAATAAACAAATAAAAAGTTAATAAATTAATTAAAAGAGTTTTTTTGTTTATAATTCCTTTTATTTTAAAATACATCACAACCCAACCAAAAACAAATAATTTGTTTTTACTCAAGATTAAGTGTAAGATTTGTGAGATTAGTGCAATCTGCTAAAGCTCTACCTAAACCTGATACGCTAGTTTCATCAATTTAATTGGCACTTTTTAAATAATTAAGAAAAAAAATATAATTAATTGGTATGTTAAAAGGAAAAAATGAAGAAAAGAATTGATTTATCATATTTGAATTAATTTATGAATAATAAAAGCTTAAGTAGAAAATCAAATAATTAGTTAAATTAAAAAACTAGCAAAAAACGAAGCACAATTCTAATAAATAAATAAATTAAATGAATAAAATTATATTGTTTTAAATTCATTTTTTTGAAATAAATCACAATCAAAAATGAATAAACTATTTTTACCCAAGATTAAGTGTCAAATTTGAGAGATTAGTGCAATTTACTAAAGCAGAACCTAAACCTGATGCACCTACGTCGCCAATTAAATTGATACTTTTTAAATATTAAAGAATAAATCAATTTATGGCAAAACCTAAAAATGAAAAAACGTACAAAGAAAGAAGGAAAAAAAAATAAGCAGAGTAAAAAAGTAAAATAAAAGTAAATCAGATAAAAAGCTAATAAATTAAGATATCAATATTGTTTTAAATTCTTTATATATTTAAATGTATCAGAACCCAGAACAAATAAATTGTTATTACTTAAGATTAAGCGTCAGATTTGAGAGATTAGTGCAATTTACTAAAGCAAAACCTAAGCCTGATGCACCTTCATTACCAATTTCATTTTATCTTTTTAAATAATAAAGAAAAAAACTTAATTAAGTATTTCGTTATAAGGAAAAAATAAGTAAAGTATTTAAAATAATAAGAAATCTTAAGTTAATAATAAAAGAATGATTGAATTAAAAAACTAAGAAAAAAAATAAAAAAAGCTAAATAAAAAATAAAAGTAAATTAAATAAAAAGCTGATTGATATATTTATTAAATGAGTTATTTATTTTGTTTTTAATTATTTCCCCAAAGCAGATAAATTTTTTTTACCCAAGAGTAAGTATCAATTTTTACAGGTTAGCGGAATTTGATAAACCAGAACTTAAGCTTGATGCACCTTCATCATCAATTTTATTATTACTTTTTAAATATTTAAAAATTATATATATTTTATTTAGTGAGAAGGAAAAAATCAGGAAATAAGAAATTAATTGATTGACTAATAATAGTAGAAAAAAATCAAGTAAAGTAAAAAATAAAAGAAAAAAAACTCAAGCAGATTAAAAAATAAAAATAAATCTAATAAAAGAAAACAAATAAATGAGAAGAGTTAGTTATTTATTTTGCTTATATTTTTTTATTATTTTAAAATATTTCATAAACTAAAACAAATAAACTGTTTTTACCTTAGATCAAGTGTCAAATTTGAGAGATTAACGCAATTTGCTAAACCAGAACCTAAACCTGATACACCAATTGTACCAATTTCATTGTCACTTTTTAAGTATTAAAAAAAAATGTATAATTAATTATTTTTTTTGATGGAAAAAACGAATAAAAAATATGAAGTAATAAGAAGTAAATTACTTCATTAACAATAAAAGCAAAAATTGAGAAAAAATAAGTTAAATTAACTAATAATGAAGAAAAAAGCACAGTTATAACACTAAAGAAAAAAAATCAAATAAAAAGCTAATAAATAAATTAAAAATTAGTTATGTATTTTGTTTTAAATTATTTTTATATGAAAATATTTCACAATTTAAAATAAACTAATAAAAAAATAAAATAAACTAGTGATACCTTAACTTAAGTATCAAATTTGAGAGATTAGCACAATTTTCTAAAGCAAAACTTAAGCCTTATGCACCTCCATCACTAATTTAATTTTTGCTTTTTAAAAATAATTAAAAAATTAATTAAATATTTAGTAGAAAAACATTAATAAAATAAATGAAATAATAAGAATAATTAATTAATAATAAAAATAAAAGTAAAAAATGAAAAAATGAGTAAACTTAACAAATAAAGAAGAAAAAATAAAACAAGATTAATAAATAAATGAAAAGAGTTTGTTATAAATATTGTTTTCAATTTTTATATTAAACTATTTCACAATCCAAAACAAATAAACTTTTATTACTTTAGATTAAGTTTCAAATTTGAGAGATTAGCACAATTTGCTAAAGCCGAACTTAAGCCTGATGCGCCTTCATCAAGAATGAAATTGTATCTTTTTAAATATTGAAGAAAAAATAAATAAATAAATAAATAATTAATTAATTAGTTAGTTAGTTATTTAGAAGAAAAAAATGAGTAAACTTAACAAAGAAAGAAAGAAAAAAAAACAAGCAATAAATAAATAAATAGATTTTGTTATATTGTTTTAAATTTTATATTAAAATATTTCACAATCAAAAACAAATAAACTGTTTTTACTCTAGATTAAGTTTCAAAATTGAGAGATTAGTACAATTTACTAATGCCATACCTAAGTCTAATGCAGCAATCGCACTAATTTAATTCCCCCTTTTTAATTATTGAAGAAAAAATAAATAATTGATTTATTTATTTATTAGTTAATTTTTAAAGAAAAAATGAAGAAAAATTATTAAATTAGAAAATAATTAATTAACAATAAAAGTAAAAGTTGATGAGAATAAGTTAAATCAACAAAAAAATAATGAAAAGAAAAAAACACAAGCAGGGTTAATTAACATCTGTATTTTCGACACCTTACCTCAAGTTTAGCTAAATGCCATTCAAAAATTTAGTGAATTGAGATCACTATTTTTTTGAAAGGCTGATGCATTTGAACATTATTTATATAAAAATAAATAATTTATTTTTGAATTTCAATAATAATATTAATAATTAATTTTAATTTATATCAACCAATCTTTATGATTTTTCTATTAAATTTTTAGTTTTAGCCTTTTTTAAAAATTTTTCTTTAAGGTAAGTGTAGTTAGTTTAAATTTATTAGAATAGAGATGTCGATTAAGCAGAATATAGAGTAGATGATTAAATATACTAGAGGTAATAAGTTGAAAACTAGGATGTTAGTTAATTAACCCACAAGCAGAATAAAAAATAAAAATAAAAAGCAAATAATTTAAAAGAGTTTTTTTGTTTTGCATTCATTTTTATATCAAAATATATCATAATCTAAAAAAAAATAAAATTTTTTTACCTAAGATTAAGCGACAAGTTTGAAAGATTAGTGCAACTTGCCAAAGCAAAACCTAAGCCTTATGCACCAATTGTACTAATTTTATTGTATCTTTTAAATATAGAAAAAAACTTATATTATTTATTAATTATTTAGAACAAAAAATTAAGAAAAAATATTAAATAATAAGAAAAGCTTAAGTTGAAAATCAAAAAATTAGTTAAATTAACAAAGAAATAAAAAAATACAAGCAAAATAAAAATAATAAGTTAATTATTTTAAATTGACTTTGATATTAAAATATATCACAATCCAAACAAATAAGTTGAATATTTTTACTGAAGATTAATTTTCAAATTTGAGAGATTAGTGCAATTTACTAAAGCAGAGCCTAAATCTGATTCATCTTTATCACCCTTATATTTTCTGCTTTTTAAATATTGAAGAAAAATAAATAATAAATAAATTAAGGAAAAAATTAATAATTAATAAACAAAATAAAAATTAAGTTATAAAGAAATATTAATTTTAATAAAAATGAATCTAGTTTATGAGAAAAATAATATTTTTAATAAATAACTTAAAAATTAAATAAAAGAATATTAAATGTATATATTAATAAATTAAACATACTGCAGATCAATATGGAGAACTTAATAAGATTAAAGAGAAGAGTTTAAAAACTTTTTTGTTAATAAAAATAAACTTAAGCAATATTAATAAAAAAATAAATGTTTACTTATTTTAGATTGTTAAAATATTTTTTCTATTATATCATTTATTTTTTATTCGAAAATATTGAATAACAATTTATAAAATTTAATTAATTATAAATATTTAAAAAATGAATTACCATTCACTCCAAATTTATTTTATATTTAGAATAAATAGTTTATAATAATCATCAAACATCTATTAATAAATTTATTTTAAGGAACAGATATCTTAAAAGATTATCATAAAATTCATTATTAAATTTTTATATTTCTTTTTAACATAAATAGCTGTTTCTGATTTTAAAATTTAACTGATTAGATGTATGTATGTATGTATGTATGTATGTATGTATGTATGTATGTATGTATGTATGTATGTATGTATGTATGTATGTATGTATGTATGTATGTATGCTATATAATCACAATAGTTAAAATAAAAAGTAAAATTTCATTTCTTCCTGAGGTTTTATATAAATTATGGTATCTATTCAATCTTGATAAATAAAAAAAGTATGGAAATATGATTGATGGATAATATTTCAAATTAAAAAAAAACAGGAATATAAAAGCTTGGCATTTATAAAATTTATTAAGAAATAATATAACACTAAAAGATTCAAATTGTTTGATCGTTTTTTGAGAAACCATAGGGTTGCTTAGAGAAATTAATTTATTTAAGTTAATTAAATTTATTATTTTTTTATTTTTTATAAATAAATTATTTACTTATAAAAATATGAATGATATTAATAAATATAAAATCAATTATAAAATCTATAAATCAATCTGTTTATATATTAGGTTAAAAAAAACTTTTTCAATATAAAATATAATATTATTCAAACATTTAATATTTATTCATCCTTTTTTCGTCACTTGTTTATCAATATGATATTTTAAAGACAACTAATCTTTTTGATTTAAGACACTTGCTTTTTATTTTGAGTATTGATGATTTTTTCAAACACCTAAAAATTTTATAATAAATTTGTATAAATTTTTAATATTTATTGAAATAAAATAAACTTTTAAATTAAAAAATATTTGTTAAATTAATTAATAAAATAGCGTTATTGGTATGAAAAAGATAAAAAAAAATTATATAAAAGCTATCAAATAAATTCAAAGAGCTTTATTGTTTTTAATAGTTTTTAAAATATCACAATCCAAAACAAGTAAACTTTTTTACTAAAACTTTTTAAATATTGAAGAAAAAATATATCATTAAATAGTTATTTAGAAGGAAAAAATGAAGAAAAAATATGAAATAATAAGATTAATTAACAATAAAAGCAAAAGTTGAAAATAAAATGATGAGCTAAATTAACAAAGAAAGAAAGAACAAAAAAAAGCAAGCACAATAAAAAGAAAAAGAAAAAAGAGCTTTATTGATTTTAATTAGTTTTTTTAATTAAAAATATCACAATCCAAAACAAATAAACTGTTTTTACCTAAGGCTAAGTGTCAATTTTGAGAGATTAATGCACTTTGCTAAAGCAGAACCTAAGCTTGATACACCTTCATCACCAATTTAATTTTCACTATTTAAATATTGAAGAAAAAATATATCATTAAATAGTTAATTAGAAGGAAAAAACGAAGAAAAAATATGAAATAATAAGATTAATTAACAATAAAAGCAAAAGTTGAAAATAAAATGATGAACTAAATTAACAAAGAAAGAAAGAACAAAAAAAAGCAAGCACAATAAAAAGAAAAAGAAAAAAGAGCTTTATTGATTTTAATTAGTTTTTTTAATTAAAAATATCACAATCCAAAACAAATAAACTGTTTTTACCTAAGGCTAAGTGTCAATTTTGAGAGATTAATGCACTTTGCTAAAGCAGAACCTAAGCCTGATGCACCTTCATCACCAATTTCATTGTAACTTTTTAAATATTGAAGAAAAAATATATCATTAAATAGTTAATTAGAAGGAAAAAATGAAGAAAAAATATGAAATAATAAGATTAATTAACAATAAAAGCAAAATTTGAAAATAAAATGATGGGCTAAATTAACAAAGAAAGAAAGAACAAAAAAAAGCAAGCACAATAAAAAGAAAAATAAAAAAGAGCTTTATTGTTTTTAATTAGTTTTTATAATTAAAAATATCACAATCCAAAACAAATAAACTGTTTTTACGAAAGGTCAAGTGTCAAATTTGAGAGATTAATGCACTTTGCTAAAGCAGAACCTAAGCTTGATACACCTTCATCACCAATTTAATTTTCACTATTTAAATATTGAAGAAAAAATATATCATTAAATAGTTAATTAGAAGGAAAAAACGAAGAAAAAATATGAAATAATAAGATTAATTAACAATAAAATCAAAAGTTGATAATAAAATGATGTGCTAAATTAACAAATAAAGAACAAAAAAAAGCAAGCACAAAAAAAAGAAAAAGAAAAAAGAGCTTTATTGTTTTTAATTAGTTTTTATAATTAAAAATATCACAATACAAAACAAATAAACTGTTTTTACCTAAGGAAAAGTGTCAAATTTGAGAGATTAATGCACTTTGCTAAAGCAGAACCTAAGCTTGATGCACCTTCATCACCAATTTAATTTTCACTATTTAAATATTGAAGAAAAAATATATCATTAAATATTTAATGAGAAGGAAAAAACGAAGAAAAAATATGAAATAAATAATAAGATTAATTACCAATAAAAGCAAAAGTTGAAAAATAAAATGATAAGCTAAATTAAGAAAGAAAGAAAGAAAGAAAGAAAGAAAGAAAGAAAGAAAGAACAAAAAAAAGCAAGCACAATAAAAAGAAAAAGAAAAAAGAACTTTA